ATGATGACAGAAATACGTGCCTGATGATGACAGAAATACGTGCCTGATGATGACAGAAATACGTGCCTGATGATGACAGAAATACGTGCCTGATGATGACAGAAATACGTGCCTGATGATGATAGAAATACGTGCCTGATGATGATAGAAATACGTGCCTGATGATGATAGAAATACGTGCCTGATGATGACAGAAATACGTGCCTGATGATGACAGAAATACGTGCCTGATGATGACAGAAATACGTGCCTAAAGGAACTGAGCTACTTTGCCCAAGGAGAATTCTGGTTATTCAACCTGACTATCAGTAGATGGAGCATGAAAAACTTTTGCTGCCTATTTAACAAGTTTGAACATGCTGTCTCCTACATGTGTGAAATAAAAATGCTAGAAACGTAAATAATAGTACAAGACTCAACATCTATTTATTTTAAGATAATTTTATTATGATAGTGTTCTATAGATGAGAGATTTACGTTAAGGTTTGTTAGGTATCAGTTTGATATATTTCCAGGGAAAATAAAAGCTGAAGAAATGTAACTACTTTGATAAAGTGATTAAAAAAAAAGTATCCTTTGTTTGATATAAAATTATTTGACACGTACATTTTGATTTAGTTGAATATCTGTGATAACCACTGGTATGCTGATAGAAACGATATATAAAAACTAATACTATGAATAGTTTCTGTTGATATATAATAACACGTAAATGTGAATAAAAAGATGTTAAACTTTGCTTCTCTTCCATCAACCTCTTTGGCAAGACTTGTTTCAAAATGCTTCCCCACTTCGTATTTGCTCTTATCATCTGAAATTATGTACTCGTGCGTTTAAGCATGTATAACTAAAGACATTTGCTGAGCCTAATTTGCAGATGTCTCTTTTAATATCAGTTTACATTATATATGTGTTTATTATCTCACAATTGTAATTCTCTGCCATTCTGTAGTGTTCTAATCATAAACGTAAAGTAATTCCTCACTGCCATGATTGGTTAACTTCCATGCAGCAGGCTTAACACTGAGATAGTTTGGGTTAATTTCCTTTAGTTATGAAGTTTTGATTGCTTGTAATAATTTGACCCAAATTTACGTGTAAATGATATATTAATTTTTTAACAATTTATTTATTTCTGTTCTAGACTACTCCATGTTTTCTGTATTTTTAACACCTTATTCTGTGTACATAATGTAAAATGTTTGAAAATTAGAATGGCTATGTCTTAATTAACCTTTAATTGTAGTTTAATTGATTCTCTATTTTTTTTGCATTGCATAATATTATTTACTGAAACGGAATAACTTATAATCTCTAATTATCTGAACGTCTATCAACACATACTGAATCATCTGGTTTTACTATCATTTGGGATATTAATCGTATTTCTTTTTTTAGTTTGGAAACCCAACGATGTGGCATGGTGTTTATCTACGACATGACAAACTCCAAATATGCAAACTTTGATTATGAACTTAGTCAGAAAATTCTTAATCTTCTAAAGGTAACCGAAACCTCTGACTTATGTAAATCAAAAATGAAATTTAAATGATAACAATAAGTTTGATAACCATATTATGTTTCAGTAACTTATAATATTCAGTTGATTTTTATATTATGATGAAATTTAAAATGTAAACAAAGTTTAATGAAGCTCAATGTTATATGATGATCTCTGAAACTGTTGTCCTGACTTTGCTCATGATTTGTGTTTAATATATTTCCTCTGTGGTTTATATGATCTTAACATGATATGTAAACCATCTGCATGAATCTTTGAACTATATTTTGGATTCAGGAAAAACATAGTTTCAAATCAGAAGGAATAAGTAAAAGAAAATAATTAAATTTAATTAATATTGTGTTAATTTTTCTATAGAATATCTCTTTTGAATTTGTTTGGCTTCTTTACTGACAAGTACCGGGGTTCCACGTGGTGGACCTGTTTGGCTTCTTTACTGACAAGTACCGGGGTTCCACGTGGTGGACCTGTTTGGCTTCTTTACTG